ACAGACCGTCCGTTGTGTTTTTTCAAGAAAGCTGTCGGACGAAATCCGTCGGACGGAGCATACGCGCCCATGTGAAATTGTTCATATAAACTCATGGTACATGCTCGAAGTCGCGGACGCTCCGCTTCATCTGAAAGCGCTGTTACAGTGTTGAGTTTACATGAACAATTTCACATGGGTCGCGTATGCTGCGTCCGGATGAGCTATATTGAGAAAACATCCGCGCGTACGGTCCGCCCCATCTGAAATCTTAAGCTTGCACTTAACCAAAATACCAAAGTTTTTTATTCTAGGAGCTATAGATGCCCGACGCACTATTGCCGGACTCTGTAGCCTGTAGAATCCCTTAAGAGTCCCTAATAAAAAAATACATATATTTTGCCATTTTCGGGAAATTAAAAAGAAAATTGACTGTGTATCGTCTTGCAATGTTGCTACCTCCTAGGTTATCAAAACTATGCAGATTTTAAATCGTTAAAAACAGACGAAATCTTTGAATTAATCAATCAAAATGTCTACTTTTTAAGATTCACACAGTGTTTGTATTGATTACTAAAATTAAACTGTATTATTAACTTAAACTGTACTACTTTTCTTTGACAGGCAGTTTTTAGATCCAAAATTTTAATATTTTTTTTCTTGAAAACGGCTAATTTTATAATCATATAGTATGTCCCCGTATCTTTACAAGAGGAAAAACTTTTCTATCATTGACATTTTGAGAAAAGTGCATTTTTCATAAATAATTATTGTTGTAAAATGGTTAATCCCGTTTATACTTCCAAATTTCCATACCTTTTAGAGAAAATTAAAAAAAGCATGAAAATATGGTTGATTTTTTTCCTAAGTTCCTAAAAGTTAAAACGCGTTTCTATGGTAATATAGTTTCGATTTAGTTCTTTGACAGATTGTTATTATTAATTTTGATTAACATTATTTTTTGCTGTTGTTAAAGTATCACATTTTCAAATAACTATTATCAACCCTTTCCATAGCATTGAACTAAATAAAGTTTATACTTCTTTAGCATATTAGAACAGCAAAAAATATGGCGTTAATTAAGATTCTATCAATAACAACCTATGAATGAAATCGAAACTATATTACCATAGAAACGCGTTTTGATTTTTATGACTTAGGAATTTTTTTTTTTTAATTTTCTGTAAAACGGTATGGGCACTTTGAAAAGTATAAACAGAATTAACCATTTAAAAACAAAATGTTTTTATGAAGAATACATAAAAAAGTTTGTCCTCTTGTAAAGACAATCCGCGGACATACTGTAGAGTGGTTGATTTAAATTTTAAGAGAATTTAAATATACATAAAAAAAATGTGGGTATCAATTAGAAATATTAAAGTTTCTGTCAACTTCCGGTACTTCTCTAAATGCTTCCATTGAATATATTTTTATCGAGATCTTATTGTAAAACAATGATGTTAATGTTTTACAATATAATGTGTTACAATGTGCAAAAAGCTCTCACTTCTAATGCATGCTCACTGCTCACTCAGATATACCCTGTATAGTCTTCGGTTAGGTTGTGATTTGTGGTTGTGATACTATCCGCATTCATGCACTTTTCTTCAAGTTAATAATTTCTGAATATGTCTCGATAGTTATCGATAATTTTCATTGCACTTGTTATACTACCACTGAAAACATCCCCTAACCCTCATTTACCAATAATTGATAGGCCGCAGACCAAGAAAACTGACCTCTGTGCCTCGGGGCGGTTTATTTTGAATAGCCACTGATTCGAGGGGCGGCGAGGAGTCAAGGGGGAGCGATAAGGTAAGCCCCAAGTTGCCGGACTAAACTTCGACCAGCTTGGGGGCACTGTCCGGCAGTCGCCCCCTTGTTACGCAAACTAATAAACAGCCCCGGGGCTCTTATTGCGATGTAGGACTTCCTTCGAAAATTACCCATCGATCGGGGTGAAGTTTCTTCGGCAGTAGATGGGGTTGAAAAATTAAAGAATAAGTAATGTCAGCTACAAATAGGGATTTCAAATGTACCTACTTTTCATTTCACCGGTAATCGTTAATTTAAAACATCGAATTGCCGATTTACCGGTCTTTAAGTTTTTTTTAAATATAAAAGCAATCTTAACCAAATTAAAGCAGCATTTTCAAATATTCAGTTTAAACAAAAATAATCTCAATAATTTGCCGAAAATGGAAACTTATCCTACATCAGACTGAACTGACATGAGTCCATAAGTTAAAAATACTTAAATGCTAATTAATTATATTATATTATTAATAGATATGTTAAAGACAGTGTTTACCGACAAAACCCGACCACGTATTGTGGACAGCATGAGAGAATTTATTGTGGATACTTTTCGAAGTAGAACTCCACATATACCTCTTAACATGAAAAGATCTTTTGAAAAGAGAATCATTTTGTGTGGTGAACAGAAAAGGAAGTAAAGGGTAAAACCTCCGACGAGGGGTAGGGGTCAAAAAACTCACAATCTTTTTAGATGTTTATTAAAATTTAATTTGCTTCAAAAAAAGAAGGGGGCGACATGTTTCGGGACTTAACAATTCCAATCTTCAGGCCCAGAAAAACAAACGTCAACCTAGGAAGTATAATAGTTGGGTTGTTAAAATTCATCTAACAATCTCTCTCATTGTAATTGCAAAATATATAATTTCTCAAAAAGAAAACCTTTTGCTGTAATTCTAAATAAAGGCCTATACCATAATTCTCATAGTCTAAAGGCGGGCGGCCACTGCGAGCGAAACTAAACTAAGCGAAGATAAGATTTGTAAAAATCAGCTTCCATACTTTTTAATGCGTCAGCGGCTACTTGACCGAAACAAACGAAAATATATGAACGAAGATTCGAATCGTAGTTTCGCTCGTTTTAGTTCGTGACAGGTTCCAGCGAATTTTTCGCAGCGATTAGTTCTATAATAGCAGATATACAATACGAAAACTTAGCTGACTTCTTCTTACGACGCCGTCTCTTTTCGAAGGTTGGCGATCCAAATAGCTAACGTCATTCTAGATACAGCCATACAAAATATGTCGATTGATGAGCAACCAAACCATCTACGAATGTCCTTTAGCCAGGAATTCTGGCGTCTGCCGATAGATCTTTTGCCCTGGACTTTGCCTTCAATTATTAATCTGAGAAGTTCATACTTTTTACCCCTCATTATGTGGCCTATGTAGCGTGTTTTTCTTTCTTTGATGGTAAGCATGAGTCTTTCTGTTTTCTCATTCGATTAAGAACCTCCACATTTGAAACTCTTTGGACCCATGATATTCTTAATATACGGCGGTAAATATACATTTCGAAGGCATCTAGTTTTTTTTCTAACGATATGTCAAGAGTCCAACTCTCACACCCGTACAGGAGAACTGAAAAAATGTAGCATCTGACCATGCGTACCCGTAGCTCCAAACTCAAATCTGACCTTGTGAAAAATTGTCTCATATTTATAAATGTTTTTCTAGCCTGTTCTATGCGGCTTCTAATTTCTTTCTTCGGGTCGCATTGATCATTTACAATACACCCCAAATACTTGTATGAAGACACTTGCTCTACTGGGTCACCGTTGATATCCAGGTGAATCTGCACAGGTGTTTTGGTGAATGCAAGAACCTTCGTTTTTGTGGTATTTATGAGGAGACCGCAGTTTTCACTATGCCGAACTAATTCATTCATTAGCCTCTGCAAATCTTGTTCATTCTCGGCCAGCACAACTGTATCGTCGGCATACCTGATATTATTGATCACTTTCCCGTTAATCTTAATTCCACATTCGATTCCTTCTAGAGCTTCTTTGAAGATAGCCTCTGAATATATATTAAATAAGAGCGGTGACAGCACACAGCCCTGTCTTACACCTCGTTTAATCGTGATTTCTTCTGACGATGTTCCTTCAATTTTAACCACTGCGTTTTGCTGCCAGTAGAGATTTGTAATCAATCGAATTTCTTCTCTATCTATTCCGGTTGTTTTGAGGACTTCTATAAGTTTTTGATGGTTAACGCAGTCAAAGGCTTTTCTATAATCTATAAAACAAGCGATTACATTGACATTCATGTCTCTGCAACGCTGAGTGATAACGTTTAATCCGAATAACGCCTCACGAGTACCTAGGCCACTGCGAAATCCAAATTGAGTTTCGTCTAGTTGGTATTCGCATCTTTTATAAATTCTGGTGGAATTATTCTGAGAAATATTTTGAGGACATGGGACATCAGACTTATCATGCGGTATTCATCGCAGTTCGAAGCGTGGGTTTTCTTTGGAAGGGTAATAAATGTCGAGCGTAGCCAATCCGTTGGGATAGTCCCTGTACGGTAGATTTTATTGAATATGAATACCAGCAGTTGCAACCCCCTTCTGTCCTGTTCAGCCATCAGTTTTATAACTTCGGCATGAATATTGTCTGGGCCAGTTGCTTTTCCGCCTTTTTGGGATCGTATTGCGTGAATTACTTCGTCTTTGGTAATTTCAGGTCCTTTTTCGTTCATGTTTTCATCCGCTTTCGGTGGAGTGTTCGGTCTGCTATCATTAAATAGTTCTTCTACGTATTCCTTCCATCGTTGTAGTTTATTCTCTATTCCCAAGATGATGTCATTATTTTGGTCCCGTAAGATAGCTGTGGAACATTTCTTGTTACAGTTTACCATTTCTTTCACCTTCTTGTGTAAATTGAATGTGTCGTATTTTTCTTGAAGATTTTCGATTTCACTACACTTCTCGGTCATCCACTGTTCCTTTGCATCTCTGCATTTTCTTCTAATCCTTTTGTTTAGTTCAGCATATAATGCTGGATTTGCCTTATGGGTTCTCCTTTCATTCATGAGTTCTAGGATTTCAGGAGTCATCCATTCTTTTTTCACATTAGTTTCAAGGTGGCCAATGTCATTTTCCTGAATAAGAGTTATGGAGGTTTTTATCCTATTCCAGGTTTCCATTATATCCAGTTGTTTTTCATTTTGGATTTTTGTCATTTCACATTCGATCCTGGAACTCACTTGAGTGTGTACATCCGGTATCCGCAGTTTTCTAGTGTTGATTGTAGGAGTTGGTTGCGTTTTAGCGATCTTTTGAATCTTCTCATTCGGAAATCCATAACGACGGGATTGTGGTCGCTATTAACGTCTGCGCCAGGATATGTTTTTACTGATTGCACGTATTTCTTCAGTTCTTGTCCAACAAGTATAAAATCGATCAGATTCCTTATGGTACGGCCTTTTTTATCAGCAGGAGATTTCCAGGTGTATAGTCTTCTAGGATGTTGTTTGAAGCATGTGTTAGCAATAAATAAATTCGATTCTACACAGAACTGGATAAGTTTGTCACCTCTCGCATTTCGTGTGCCTAGGCCGTACTCTCCTACGACATCATTCTCTCTTCCGGAACCGATTTTCGCGTTGAAATCTCCCATGACCATATTTATTTCACCCTTCTTTGTGAGTTTCATCGCCTCCTCTAATGTTGAGTAGAAATCTTCAACCTCTGCGTCACTTTTGTCGTTTGTTGGGGCATATACTTGTATTATGTTCAGTGTTCGATGTGTAGTTTGTAACTTCAATAGCATAACTCGATCATTAAAGGGTATGAACTCCATAACCGACCTATCTATGTCCTTGCTTACAAGTATGGCAGTTCCGTATTGATGAAACGTGTCTGTCCCTCCTGAATAGTAAATGACGCCGTTATTAGTTGCTTGTTTACCTGATCCAGGCCATCTTACTTCACTCATCCCCAATATATCAATTTGCATTCTGCGCATCTCTGTCTCGACATTTGCCAGTTTACCGGCCATGTACAGACTGCGCACATTCCAGGTAGCTAATTACTGAGCGAAAATCGTTCCCAGTGGAGTTCCCATTTAATTACCGTTTGTTTTCATATTCTTAGCTTACTTTAGTTACGCTCGCAGTGGCCGCTCGCCTTAAGAGCTGGCTACATAAAAAACCTTATCATCGTTACACGGCTAATTTTTTGTGTGAAGTATCCTTTTGTGTAGCCATTATGAAATAGTCATGTCTGCCAGCGCGATCCCGGGGCTTAAAGCGGGGGCGGCCAATAGAAAGGGTGACATTTTGACACTAAAAATATTATAAGATACATGAGTTATAATTGCGAAAATAGCTTTTATGTATTATTAAGAAACGTGGAAAATCGTCGGCAGACATTTTTCTAGTCGCTAAAATGCCGACAGACAACGCGAAAGAGGCATGAAATTTTAAAAATTATTAAAAAATGAAATTTGAAGAATAAAAAAAATTATGGCATATTTGCATGCCGATTGGTGAAATATCATATTTATTTATTTTAAAAGCCGTATGCAAAAGGTTAGATAAAAAGATCGTGGCTCAATCAGCTGCAGACAGTTATCAAAAGCGCGATATTACTCTAGCGCTGTATTCAGGGAACGTATTATAAATATATTTTTTTATTATTTCAATAACGATTTTTTTGTCTGCCCTTTTGCATACGGCTTTTTAAATTAATTAACAATAAACATGACAGTCCACCAACCGACATGCATGTATGCGATGATTTTCTTTTGTCAAAATTCTATGCCTCTTTCGCGTTGTCTGCCGGCATTTCAGCCACGAGAAAAATGTCTGTCAACAATTTTACACGTTTCCTAATAATAAATAAAAGCTATTTGGCAATTATAATTCGTGTACCTCATAATATTTTTAGTGTCAAAATTTCACCCTTTCGATTGGCCGCCCCCGCTTTAAGCCGCGGGATCGCGGTGGCAGACATGACTATTTCACAATGGCTACACAAAAGGATACTTTACACAAAAAAATAGCTATGTAACGATGATAAGGTTTTTTATGTAGCCAGCTCTCGGTCTATCAGACAATCTTATTTTATTTTATATTTTTTTCTTTTTTTGACGAGTATCGTCGTTCGTAAAATCAAATATCTTTCTGCGCCTGAAGATGGAAATTGTTAAGTCCCGAAACATGCCGCCCCCCCCTTCTTTTTTTGATTAAATTTAATTAAACATCTTAAAAACTGTGAGTTTTTTGTTCCCTACCCCTCGTCAGAGGTTTCACTTTGATATGTACTCACACTGGGTTGGAGAACGTTTAGTTTAGGAACGGAAGTATTTTGAGTATTTAATTTCATCTAGCTATTTTTTGTCACATAATTATACATTTATATCTAGTTTTAATTCTGTAACAATTAAAATATGTTTTAAACGTGTACCTTTTTATTACCTTTCAATATTTTATTCTATATCCTTTAATTTTTGTGAAATTAACAAACGGTATCTCACCGGCCGCCTAGATTTTATCCTATAAACAAGGATTTTATAAAATAATAAATATCTACTGACGTAAAATCACAAAAGTGAAAATATCTAGGAAAATCACTGTCTAAGGGGTAGGCAACCCTAATAGTATTTTGAAGAGACATGAATTTCACATTGAATATCGGCATAATATACTGGGTGTTCCATTTAAAATAAAAGAGTAACTTGCTTTTAAATGTAACCAATGTACAATATTAATTTTTTCTTGCCCTATTAAAGTTTTTGGGTCAAGTTTTAACTTAATCTAAAATACAATAGTTATTTTAACTACAAACTAGGCTGTACCGGGTAAATTCCAATTTAGGTAGCTTTTATTGAAATTTAAAATCTGTTCTTCATTTTTAGAAAATGATAAATATGTCAAAAACCTTACATTTTAGACAATTACTTCTCTAATAAAACTCATTTTTATTTTTTTTCCTAGAATGCGAAAATCAATTAATATATAGGGTGTTTCATTACACAAAACACAACTTTGATGTGTAGCTTTTTTGTGGACACCCTGTAGAACTCTCTATATTTTTAAAAAATGCTCTAAATTAACCTACATATGTTCACAAAATTTTATTTCAATACAAACAGTCGTTCTCCTTGGAACCTCCGCGCTCCGCGGTGTATGAGAAGCGCCACTCTGTAGAATAAATATTGCAATAAATCTATTGGGATCATAATAAAAGTTCGCAATAAAGGCTTCGTTCGGCCTATAATATTATTTCCCAAATTTGACTTCTGGCTTCTAGTTCAGTGAAAATTTAATCATTCAATGTATTTTTGAATGATTACCGTAATTACCTATATTTGAAGACAATTTAGCGGTAATATTTTACCGCGTTTTTAGTACATTTTAACCAGTAAACCGATAAACCAATAATTCAATCCCTATCCAGAAAGAGCATATGAAATAAGTCCAATCCTCGGTTGTCTTCCAACTTTTGTGTCGAAAGAAACAAAAATATGAGTTAATTATTAAACAAACTTTAATATAGACTGTAAAATTGACAAGTAACACGCAACGGTTTGTAAAAAAGGAGAAAAAAGTGGGAAAAAATGTATCAGGTAAAAACCCTGGCAATTACAAGAAAGAAAATAGATAGAAAATAACTAGATAAAGAGACAATCAGTGGTATTCGTGCTGCATTTCAGACATGTGAGATTTTTCAGAAAGATACCTTACTCGAAAGCAGGAAAATACCAGCATTTTTAAAATGGTGAAAAAAATTAAGGCATGCATGAATCGCTTTTTTATTGTTAAATTTTTAAATTTTGAATTAAAAAAATAATAATATTTTTAATAATATCAAAAAATTTTGAGATTGAAACTGACAATTTTTCGAATTTTTTTGAAAAACAAAGATGGAAAAAAAATGAAATGATTTGTTAAAAAATTTCTTACTTACAGATTTTAATTTTAGCGATTTTTTTTATGTAAACATAACTGTTCGTACGTGCAATACAGATCCAATGTTATAACATTTAATGATTATAAAACTGTAAGAAATAGGATGAACGAGAATATCCAGAGAATCAAATGAGAGCATTGGGAAACTTTTTCGAACGATATGGAACATGACCTCTACGAAGGACAAAAGAAAATATGGAATCTATTGAGAAATAGGAAGAAACCATTAAATGAGTACATACAAAATACAAAAATTGCGTCCAAAGAATGGGAAAGATATTTCGAAAAACTTTATATTTCATCGGAAACCAAGTCATTACCACAGCAAATAGATAATGACAGCGAAAATGTTAACCAACCCCAAATTTGGACCACTCCTATGGAGGAAATACAGAAAATGGGAGCGAAATTAAAAAAATAGAAAAGCCCAAGGCATGGATGAAATAAAGAACGAAATAATCAAATATGGAATGGGTATCAGTTTGGTGAGTACCGTACAAAAACTGTTTACTAAAATTTTAGCAGAAGAAGTAATGTCAACTGGAATTTGTGAAGAACAACAAGGATTTAGAAATAACAGGTCTGCAATAGATTCCATATTTATCATCCGCCAAATAACCGAAAAAGCCACAGAGTTTAATAAGACAGCTTTTATGTGCTTCGTTATCTTACCCACGCATTCGATAGAGTCCAATTAACTGATGTCATAAACCTACTACAAAAAAGGAGAATTCAGTCGAATATTATAAAAGTTATCGACGAGTTGAATAACGAGAACTTCACATATGTAAGATGCCAATAAACTAAGCAGAAAAATAGCTGTGACAACCGGAATCAGACAAGGAGATAGCTTAAGCCCAACCCTGTTCAACATCGTAATGGACAAAATCATAAATGAAGTAAAACAAGCTGGGAGTAGAGGATATCGACTGGGAGATAAAGAAATAAAAATAATATGCTATGCTGACGATGCAGTACTCATATCTGAAGATGAAGATAACTTATAAAAGCTTCTATATAAGTTCCAACAAAAGGCAAAACTATTTAACATGCGTGAAAAAAAATCCCTTACAATATCTAGAGAGCCTAGAAGATGCAAACTCGCAATCTATGATCAGAGTGTAGAACAAGTGATGTCATTTAAATATCTAGGGGCAAATATAACAAGCACTAGGTATCTCAAAGAGGAAGGAAAAACCCAAACAACAAAGGCATTATTAATATCAGGATATTTAAGGGATATAATTTGGCCAAATAAATATATGAGCGTCAGAAGCAAAGTTAGAATTTATTAGGGTTGCGTGAGACCGGTTATAGATAGAGACTAGAGCAGAGAACACAACAAAACGGCTCCTAAGAACAACAGAAATGCGAACACTTAGATCAATTACAGGATATATATTATATGACCGGAAAAGAAGTGAGGATATAAGAGAAACGTGCAAAAATGCAAGATGTGATAAGATGGACAAGAACAAGGAGAAGAGAGTGGAGAGACCATGTGGACAGGATGCCAAACGACCGGTTAGCGAAAATTGCAATTAGCGAAAATTGCAAAAAATAAGGAAAAAAGACTCAACACGCCTCGACCGCCGCGCCGCGCCGCCCCGCCGGGACGCCCACCTATAAGATTGGTATGAAAGCTATGGTCTTCATCTTCCCAACTGTTGTTAGGGAACCATTGAAGGAAACACAGGACTTGGTCCTAACGTACGAAGAAGAAGAAGATAAATGTTCCATGTGTGTGTGATCTCTCTATACCAACATGTCTCTAAGTACCTATTATTTATTAATAAATAAAACTAAAGAACGGATGGCATATTTACTGCCCCAATAATCTCTGGCAAGAAATAACCCACAATATTGTTATTAAATTCACAAATTAATTTTTTCAGTGTAAACCAAATTCTATAACTAGATTTTAATCGATTTGCTATTATAAACTAACTAAAGAGCGTAGATTAAGGCCCTACACTATATACTAAATGTAGACAAATATTTAACCACCAAGAAAAATCAGTTAAAAAAAAGATTTGGAAAAATGAATTTTTGTGTAAAACCCCAATATTTAAGCTTCGAAAATTTT